TGCCCTATACATTGTGTACTAAAACATTGACAGCCTTATGTCATATAAGGTACTTAAATATTTATTCTTCTTTAATGTAATTAACCTTTTATTGCAGCAGAGACCTTTACCTAAAAAAAATACAATAAACAAATTTACAAGTATAACAATTCTGCTTTTATTATCACTTATTTATTATTTATTTATCACTGACAGACTATTAAAGAAAAAAAATAGATTGATTGTTGGTTGCTTAATGTCCAGTGGCAAATTTTTCATGCATGTCCAGGACGATAAATAACAAAAACAAAAATTTTCTAAAGCAATTGTTCTGCAGAACACAATTTCCACCCTCAGCAACAAATATCACTAGTTGTTGCTAGTAAATAGGCTTGGAGTGAAGAAATTCAAACTGCATAATGTTGTAGTAATTAAACATGTGTTAAAGATCTGAGATATACATCTGAAATTAAAACAAAATGCTTTGTGTTGGGTACAAAAAATGTTGGTTGGCAAAACACACATATTCAATATTTTAATGAAGATTCTTAATATTGAATGTTATTGGCTTATAATTTTAGATGTATTACTAGTATTAATTCCTTAAACTCTTTCCATGAGTGTTATTATAAACCACTTCAAACACTAGTAATATGAACTATGTTTTATATCAATGGATTATAACCATGATAACACATTCTGACAACTGTTATATATATTCTATGTCAGTGATCAATGTAAATTAAACAAAGGTCTATATTCACTTCACAGTTGTTTAAAGGTTTATCATTAAAAGAAGAAAAAAATCAGCAATTTCATTTACAAACATGAGGCATGGATGACTGAGTCTTTCATAAGATTCATTTCAGTTCCACTCAGATAACAATACTTTGTATTCTGATAACAATACTTTGTATTCTGTCTGATAACAATAACTTTGTATTCTTGTATATACATTTGGGTTATTAATACAAAATCTGATCATGTTCTTTGCAAGTCTTTGTTCAATGACCAAAAAAGTATATTGACAATATTTCTTCAATTTGTCTATCATTGACCTTATTCCTATATTTGGTGGCCTTTAGCTGTTTTCTGCTCTTTGGTCGGGTTGTTGTCTCTTTGACGCATTCCCTGTTTTCATTCTCAATTTTAAATACAGAAAAACAGTTACTAAGACAACTTCCAGTTTGGGTCAAGATTTGCAAAAACACAGTAATTAGCAGAGGGAGGACAAAATTTTTAAAGACAATTAATGCCATGAAAATGCTACGTTTGAAGCTAAACATGTCTCTTTGAAAATTTTGTCCTGCATTTTTTTTTAGTTGTAATCTCTGTCCTGCCTTTTTATTTTTCACTCTATTCGGTCTTGCCTTTTTTTTTTATTAGCTTATCCTGACTTTTTTTTCATAAATTGTCATCCTGCCTTTTTTTTTTTACTCAAAACTCCTGTCCTGCCTTTTTTTTCAAATTTCACCCGAGCCCCCCCTATAAAAATCAAATGGTAGCTCCCATATAAAAAGCAAAGGCAAACCATAATCACAAACAGTAATTTATACATGTAAATAATGTACTACAGATTAAAGGAGCATAGATTACTACGGTACATGTACCATAAAAATGAGCACTGACAAACATGTTTAGCCCCACCACATTCTTTAAATGCTTGTCCCAAGTCAGTAACCTAGTAATCTAGTGGTTGTCATTGGTTGCTGTCTGCTTAATTGTATTTCATTTATTGTTTTTAGAATATACCAACTACAGTTGTATGTTGGTTTTCCGTATTGATTTTTTTTTCCACATTTTGTCATGTTAGGCCTTTTATAACATTCTATAGTATAATAGGTATGAGTTTTACTCATAATTTGACTTCTAGTCACTTGAGCACCTGGTCAAATCAGCATCCGATATAATTAATTCAGCACCTAGTCAAATTGGTATCTGTTTAATTTGGCACCCAATGTTACAGTAATTGTAAACATATCAAAGAAATCGTCATGGATAATTGAAAATAAATAGATACGAAGTATACAAGTAATTCAAAAATGGGATTGAAAACAAGAGTAGTGCTCTTATATGAATCTATCTTCCTAGGTTCAAAAATATATTCTAAAATAGCTTTGGGAAAACTCTTAAGGGGTAGTGGTTTTTACTTTTTTGGTAGATTATTTCAGATGTCTTGATGTCAGGGACTCAAAAGTTTGATCTTATCTTGCTTCATTTTTCTCATGATTTAGCAACAGCTTGAAAAATGACTTTCAACGGCCATAGTGCAACCCTAAAAGAATTGAGATAAAGCGGGTCTATGATTGTGGCCCCAGCGGGACAGAAATTTTTGGTATATTGATCTGTAAACAGGACAGGACAACAGGACACTAAGCGAATGATTGGTGTATCTATAAAAAGAAACAAGCAGAAAATATGTGTTTATTACTAACGATTACAGGGTCCACCACCGAATAAAAAGCAAGGGTGGGGGAGAGATGTCATAAATTCTCAGAGGATGTGTCAAGTTCATTTGTATCCCTCCCTGGACATAAAGTTTATATTTTACTTGGTGACATTTGTGTGGTGACATACATAAATGCATAAAAAACATGTGTACTTCAAGTTCTTTTTCAATATTTCATTCAGAAGTGAATACAATCAATGCCAGCCGTTTATGTTATTTATTATTAAAAATGAGGACAGGCAAAAACAAATTACGTTTCAATTTAACATTTTTAATGGAATTCAAGCCAAACAATGTTTTTTAATTAATTCATTACGCTTTTTTGTCTTACTGTCAATTGTGTTTTCGTCATAAAACTACAGTCAACTTTGCAAATTGAAGCAATTTTGATATAATAAAAAACTCTATGATATAAATCTCTGCCAGCAAGCTCTATTGTTTCCTGGAGAATACATTCATCTTGAAATATTGGTACTGTCTTTTATACCTCAGACTAATCTATTCTACCTGATTTTTACCCACTTTACAAGAAAATAAAGTTCTTAAACATACTACATTTTTTTGTAAATCGGATATATCTTTAAAAAAAATCTCAGTTAACTCTGATAATTCAAACTTTTAAGACATCTTTGAGTGCAAGAATAAGACTTCATCAAAACGGTTGATTCATGAATATGCATTCTAGCCAGATATACAATATTATAAAATGTACATGTACATGATAAAATTCTCAGAGACTGATTGATCATTTGTTGATATAGCATTGAGGCAATGCCTTCCCATATTGGTATCAGCTCCCCAAGGCTTGGTATTATAAATGGTTATTTAGGACTACAGGTATTTGGTTTACAAGAATAAATTAACAAAAGCATTATTAATTAAATTACAGATGATTGTGTTTAATGTTTCTTGGCATAACGTGTGAGCTTTCAAAGGAAGATACATGTGTGTTCCCAGTCATTTCAATGTTTTTTTGCAGAACTGGCACAATTCATGGTTTCGGTTTTGGTATGGTAACCAAATAAAAATTCTACAGTTCAAAAGTAAGAATAGCAAAGTTAAAACTTCATTTCCTATAGAAAATGCTGTTTAAATTAATTGATATCTCATTCATCAGTTTTCAAGTAGTTGCGGTTTAACAAAGTGTAATGTGGACATCTAGGTAACAAAGTTATTTAAAGAAAATAATTTGTCTTATGGAAGAGTCTTCGACTTTTCTTTAAATGAATCCTACTTTACCCAGTTATGTTTTGTTTTCAACAGGAATCTTGATGATTAGTTATTTAAAATACTAAATTTTGCAGCAAAACAGATGTTTTCCCAAGTTTGATCTCTAATGCCTTTGCCTCCACTGCGCTAAAGCCATGTTTTCACGTTTTTTTAATTCAATTTTTTGCCATGGAAAATAAAACATCAAAAACTCTGTTCTACATGTAATTCCCGCTTTAGATACCTATTTTCATTTAATACCAGAAACGTGGAGAAATGTTCTCTTTTAGATTACCCAGTACATCAAATTTATTTTGCTTTCTTAGCTATGCTTTGTAGTGCCCATAAAATGAAGCATATGCACTGGTATGCAACACAAGCTTTATGATTACAGAGTGAAATGAAAACTCAAACTGTGTTGAAAATACTAAATTTGATGCTTTTAAGATTCTTATGCAAGGTGCAAATATAATTACAATGTAAAACATGAACTTAACCAAAAAGAAGAAGCTGTTTAATGACTCTATTGAGGGGCTGGGGACTGTGGGTGTTTGCTGTTTGTCAACAAAAAAAGACAGCCTTGGGGTAAATCTAAGGGCTTGCTATAATACATTGTGTATGATGTCCGACGTATTGTACTCATTCAGTCATAAATCACACAAGTTCGTGCTTGTGTCAATTTCTTTATTCAAATCATGTATTTTGTACCAATGTGTTTCATGATTCTTGCACTTTGAATATCATTCACAGTCCAAATTTCCTGACACAAAGTCATTGTATAAATTGGAAAATCCACAGTTTCTTATCCGTAAATCATAAACTTTAAAAAAAAATTGAAAAAATCTGGGTGGGATAATTTAGAGGGGCAGGCGGGGATGAAAATCTATCAATTAATTTTAATTGGCCTAATTATCAAAAAAGAAAAAAGATCATAACAAAAGATTTACAAAAAAGAAATGTATTTATTAATTTTACTTATTTATTCCAACTGCTTAGTTATTACATGTGATGATTTTAACAATGAACTAAACAAACTAATGGATATAAAAAGATGTGGTATGAGTGCCAATGAGACAACTCTCCATGATGACCATCCAAGTCACAATTTGTAAAAGTAAACCATTATAGGTCAAAGTACCCACTCCATAAAAAAAAAAAAAAAAAAGAGACATGTCAGCAAACCTTCCAACTATCCTGATTTTGGCGGTATCATCCCAATTTTTATGCCTCAACATGAATCCCAATATAGGGATCGTAAAACAAATCAAAATCCAGATTTTCACAAAAATCTACCCGAAAAATTGTTGGTACAAAGCCAATTTTGAAGTTTTTCTGATCAATTTCTATAATTTTATAATTTTACCTGGCGACATATTTATGACAAGTTTACAACCCCAGCTAATCAACAGTCACAACAGGTGTCAAAATTTGTTGTTACAGGTAATCTGCTTATCCAATAGGTCATAATGATCCTAAAAATTAATTAATTTGTAAATAGAATTGGTCAGTCAGCATTTCAATTTTAATCAATTTATCATACAATCACTCAATACGCCAGTTCCCGGGATACGGTAGTTAGTTGAATCTGTCATGTGACTTCCATCACCTCGTGACCAAAATGTTGGCCGGGTTTTTGTCTCTTTGACATATTCCCCATTTCCATTCTCAATTTTATCATGACTTCCAACACATGTTGAGTGAACGGGTGAAATAATTTGATCTTTTACTGCACAAAATTTTTGAAATTAAAATCTAATAAGTTGGTCACCCTCCCTGCAGTCATACGGGAATTAAGATTACATACTTACAGAACATAAATTATTTCTAGACTACCCTGCAGAATGACGATTCTGAAAGTTCTTGCCAACTTTAATAGAGCAGGGATACAGGCGAGCCTTCTATCTGGTAAATGACGTCATAAAAGCATGCGAAATTGACGTTTTTTCCAGTGAAAAAATATGATTCGAGAAATGGCCTTTTTGCAACATTTACCTTAGTTTCATGACAAAAATGTAATTAAACTGTAATGAACTCATTAGGAAACCTCGTTTATCTTGAAATCCGTTCAAATTTTTGAAATCAGACTTGTTTCTGTCCAGTTCTGATTTAAAATCAATGCCATATTGTATTCACTTCTATTGTGTATAAGCCTTAGCCAGTAGGAGCACCTCTGAATACCAAGAAAGATAACTCAAATTTTATCCATTTTCTCATTACTGACATGACTGATAGACTAACTCAAGAACTGTCTCCATCCTTCTAACTTTAGGACATTTAGGTTTAGGTCTTTTGAGTCATGGTGCAATGATTAGAAGGTCTTTGGGGGTGGAGGGGTGTCTTTATTTTGAATTCTTTATTTTTTAAGCCATTTTTCTCTATTCTTAAGTTATTTTGCCAATTAATAAGTACAAAAAATAAAAGAAAACAAGGCTTTTTAGCTCATCATCTGTATACCAAAAGAAAAAAAGAAGAGATATGAGTAAAAAAACAGTACACACAGGAATGCCACAATAATTGAAACCCGTAAAAATCTGGTCGTGCACTAAAACACTATGGGGATTTTCTAAAGTTGGCAGGTCTGTCAACATAATGAAAGGTGTTGAACAGACTAACCAAATGACAGAATGATTTTTAGATGATGCCAAAATTGACTAGAAGCTGATTTGAAGTTATCTATACAATTTATACTATCATCTATAATACAATAGGTGCCGATATGACTTGTAATTTGTAGTGGACCGTAGGGTAACCTGCAGTTATTTAGAACCAGTTATTTACATCCTTGTCCTAAGGTCACTGATGCCGGATAGTTGTGTTATTTTCAAATTGACAAACACGCTTCATCTATTTATTTTTTTATATGTGTACCCCAGTCGATCCTTGATTATCCCGAGGGCGAACGGTATAGATTCAAGATTTAAGTATCCAATCATGGGCCCTCAAGGGGCATATACACAAAATACAACAATATATATGTCTCTGATACCGTATAGTTACCGGTAGTATATAAGTAAACATTCTGTAATGTATGTCAATCATGTTTTAACATTACAGTTAATATCATTTATAACAGAGTTGTCATCGCAAAGCATCTTATGGCTTGATCACTAGGTAGTTTACCTGTTTAATAATAATAGTTACCCGGTCGAGTGGCGTCTCTTCCTCTGACCGGAAGTATCGGCTGATTCCATAGGTTATTGTAGGTAAAGTGTTAATTGTATGTTCATTTAACGCGGACGTCTTTGAAGACACCTACAGTTTATTCATACATGATTTATAGTAAAAAAAACTTGAAAATTTCAACATGGAATATCAATGGTTATATCAGTAAGGGATTTAATAAATTTGTGAAGATGATATTTTCGTTGACAATCTTTTACAGCAAGACATTTTTTGCTTGCAAGAAATCCACTGTGATCTGGATAATTGTTTAGAACTTCCAAATTTTCAAATGGTTCATCTTATAAGATCTAGAACCAATTCCAAACCTAGCGGGAAAAGACACGGTGGCTTATCAGTGTATATACTTAATTTTTATTTTTATTTTATTTAAATTTTTAATTTCTAGTTTTAAAGTTTTTATTTAAATAACACAATAAGACCGGGTATTAAATTTTCAGAACATGCCACAAATGATTTTATTTGGTTAAAGTTAGACAAAACATTCTTTGGTTTTCAGGAAGATTTATATACTTGTTTTGTTTACAATCCACCTGAAAATTCGTCCTACTATAGAAAATTTGATTGTAATATTCTTGAAATGATTGAAAATGATATAGTAAAATATTCCCAATCAGGAAAAATTCTGAGACTAGTGCCTGTGGATTTAAATGCAAGAACTGCTTGTGAAATTGATCATATCCAAATGGATTCAGACAAACATACTCCATTATTTGACAATTACAAATGCGATTCTAGTTTAATTCAAAGAAAGAGTAAAGATAGCTCTATTAACACTAGAGGCAGACAACTATCTCTATGTATATCTTAAATAAATCTTCTAAATTTTTATGGCTCTTGACTCAAGAAAATGTAACTCTTATGGAAAAACTGGGCTGTTATATTTGTGACTGTTTTGAATTAAGGAGATCAGGTATGCATATTGACACTAAGTCAAGTAAATGATTTGAGAATGAATGCATATAATGTAATTTTATTCTTTTATTCACAATATATATGTGGTTTTTGGCTCTGATTCTGACCAATGCTAATATACTAAATATATATTTTCAAGTGACTATTATTGTTGTTGTTACCAATTATGTAAATCAATTGTATCTGATTTTATGCCCTTTATGGGCCCTGTAATTTGGGAAATAAAAATATTCTATTCTATTCTATTCTATATCTTCATCATTGCCTATCCTTAACCTAATGGCAGCACAATGGGTGATTTAATGGGTGCATACACTTGCTTCCAACCTTTAAGCAACAGTGTTGTCGATTATTGTTTAGTATCTGAAGAACTCTTACCAAATTTCACATATTTTCACACTCATAATTTTTTACCTGATTTTTCAGATCATTGTCAGATCTTATGCATAAAAACTGCAACACAAATGTATATGAAAGAAACTCAAATCTTAAGTTTTAATGCCAAATAAATATATATGGGATGATACATATGTAACTCAGTCTCAGCATTTCAAGATGCTATAAATTCAAATGAAATCAAAAATTTTATTAGACAGTATAAAGATAAAATTTACGACCAAGATTCAATTAATAATGCAGCAGAAGATTTAAATAAGATTTTCCTAAAAGCGGCAGATTTATCACTTAAGAAAATTATTAGAAAACCAAACAAAAGCAAGAAGAAGAAAATTAAAAAGAAAAGAATCGCAAGATCAAGATATAATAAATTTAAAACAAAACTTATATCAAAATACAGATTAATGCAAAATCACAACACAGATCCTTATATACGAGGGTCCTTTTTTAAATGCCTGAAAAATAGACAAGCTGTTTGTATGCCCTTAATAATACAAAAACTCTTTAATTTAGTATTTTCAAGTAGTATTACCCAAAATTATGGGGCCAATGCTTTATTACCCCCATACACAAGTCTGGCTCTAAACATGATCCAGCAAACTACAGGGGCATTACCATTGCAGATAACATAGGCAAGATATTTAATCTAATTCTAACTAACAGGTTGACAAAATTTTAAAAAACTAGAGATATAATTAGAAGTGAGAAAATTGGTTTTACTAAAGGATGTCGCACAACAGACCATATGTTTGTGTTAAATACCATCATTCAAAAATTTGTGAAAAATAATTTGGAGCCTCTGTATGCATGCTTTGTAGATTTTAAGCATGCATTTGATTCAGTTTCACATCTCCACCTTTTTTATGAACTTAAATGTATAATATAGGTGTTTGAACAAAGTTTTATGACATTATAAAATGTATGTATGGAAACACAGAAACAGAAACTGTATGAAAATAGACCAACACAGGACAAACCTATTTAAATCAAATATAGGAGTAAGACAAGGGGATAATTTTAGTCCCTGCCTCTTTAACATATATTTAAATGATTTGTCAACCTATTTTGACCAATCCCATTGAACATACACACCAGTGTTCTCTTTACGAATTTGATATAGCATCATGGTCAACAGAAAATTATGAAATACCATCTTGTTTCTAGAAATTTAAGCATCACATCCCTTACACTATCTGTACGGAAATCATTCCAGATAGCATCACATTCAAGCAATATAGCATCATACTATCATGATGCTAAAAGGCCATGGGGAGAACACTGCACACCCCTTAAATATTTTAATGTATGCTGATGATGTAGTTCTTTTATCATCATCAGAGCAAGGACTTCAAAATTGTGTAAATAAATTATTTAAATTTACAGTTGATTGAAAAATGACAGTTAACACCAAAAAAACCAAGGTTCTTGTATTTAACAAATCAGGACGACTTAAAAATATTAAAATATCCTTAGGAAACCAGATTTTAGAATGTGTACAGAACTACACATACTTAGGAATAAATTTTTCAGCATGTGGGAGCTTCCAAATAGCAAAGAAAGAACTTTGTAATAAAGGAATGAAAGCTTATTTCAAATTAAGAAAGACCTTTTCAGTGGAAAGCCCATAACCTAGTACTTTACTACATATTTATAACCATACAATCTGACCCATCTTGTTGTATGGATCTGAAATTTGGGGTTACATGTATATACCTCATAAGAAACAAAAACATTTGGATAACTTTATATCAAAAGAAAGTGATTATCTTGTTCTAGAGAAAATTCATACTAAGCTTTGTAAATTTTCACTTGGAGTTAATATAAAAACATCAAATATGGCATGTAGAGAGGAACTAGGTTCACTCCCAACATATTATTATGTAATTATCAATAAAATAAAATATTGGATTCATCTTATGAAAGAAATTAAACCTTCAAATATCCCATGGGAGGTCATAAATCTATCCCATTCTATGAACAAACCTAACCAGGAATCTTGAATAGGAAACATTAAACGTATATTTAAATTCCTAGATTTAGAACAAAACCATATATTAAAAAAAGTAAAAAATTCTCTTAACAATAAAATTTAAAGAAATTTGGGTAGCTAGTTTAGAAAGCAATTCTGGGAAGTGTACCAATATACAGTCTGGCAATAAATTAAGAACTTACAGAAAATTTTAAAATATTTTTATGTTTGAACCATATTTAACAATAAATTCAAAAAAAAAGTTAGGCAAATAATTACAAGATTTAGAACTAGCTGTCATGACCTTGAAATCGAAAGAGGGAGGTATATTGGTATAAAAGCTGAAGACAGAAAGTGTAAGCTATGTAAGAACGCAGTTGAAGATGAACTACATCTTCTTGTAAAATGTCCTGTTCTAAAAGATACAAGATCTCAACATCTGTCTAATTAAAATTCTAAATTCAAAATTTTTCAAAGTTATCTGATGAAATGAAATTTGTTTGGATTCTTTCATCTGAAGATTTGTTTGTTACTTCAAACTTATCTGAATTATTGCACTCCCTTTTTGAAAACTCTTAAAAAATATCAATGTTTTTTGAAAAAATAGAAAAAAATATAATAAAATAGATCAGGAGTTGTCTCCCATAGGTTTAGGGCTATAAATTGATTAAAAAATGTAATTTCTCCAGGTTACAGTGGCTTCCAAAGTAACTTATAGTTTTGTCAATAACATGGTTTATAATTATGTTACTTTGTTTAAATGTGTATACATGTTTTTGTTTAAATGTACTTTAATCATTCCAATCATTCTAATCATTTACTGTGCTTTATTTTGTAACTCATTTGATTGTATAGCTCACATTTTGGGCACCATGATTGGTTAATAGAAGTATCTTATCTCATTAAGGAACTTCTTAGGAAGAAAGAAAAGAAGTTAGCAGTATCCTTAAACTTAACTTTCCGCTATATAGATGATTTTCTCTCACTTATAAATTCAAAATTTGGTGACTATGTTGAATGCATCTATCCCATCAAACTTGAGATAAAGGATACAACAGATACAGTTAAGTCAGCCTCATATCTTGACTTACATCTAGAAATTGATAATTAGGGTCTGATGAAAACAAAACTGTATGACAAAAGAGATGATTTCATCTTCCCAATTGTGAACTTTCCATTTTTATGTAGCAACATTCCAGCAGTGCCTGCATATGGAGTATATATCTCCCAGTTAATACCATACTACAGGGCTTGTATTTCCTATCATGATTTCATTGATAGAGGGTTGCCGCTCAAGGAAGCTATTAAACCAAGAGTTCCATTTAGTGGTGAAGCTGAAATCATCCCTTTGTAAGTTTTACAGACGCCATCACAAGTTAGTTAACTGTTACGGAATATCTGTTTCACAGATGATAGCGGATATGTTCCTAATGTCGTAACAACAATCCCTTTTTTCTTTTTTTCTCAGTATTTTACTAATAAAAGGACTTATTTTTAGGTGGTCAACATTACACTTTTACTCTGTCAACAGCAGTCCAGACAAGACAAAGGGTTCAGCAGAACCTTTTTCATTTTTTTTTTTATATTTACATGCCCAAAATTCCTTCATTCATAGATTTTTTACTCAATTTTTTATTTATGAAAGTTGAAAATTCCTACAAAATTTGTTGAGTTTTCAGTTCTTCAATACCAGAATTATGGGACTTTTTCTAGTATTGCACAAAAGATAAGTATGCTTTAATAGAA